AACGATTGCTGCCTATTGCCATCTAATGCCGTCTTTTCTGAGCGATTTGGATGACAGCTCGGCGTCTAAAGCGGCTCGATTCATATATCGATTGGCTCGTTTTATATATACAATGGACCATTTGACGTCGATCGAAAGTATCAAACGGGTCTTCGACGTATATACTACTAGTACCGCTCAGAATTGGCTGGATCTCGGAGCCGCCCGTATCTCGTACCTCCGGATTTTGAGTCACGTCCCCCAAGACGCCGTGCATCCGTTACTGATGCGTCACGTCTCTTAACAGGCAGGCCTCACGAGTGCACGCTGACCATCGCCAACCGCCGCAACGCGTGTGCTTGCATTAGGAGTATATCTCTTTCAGAAGCCGTCGGTCTCCTCGAGCCTAGCTATATATAAAAATGCCGCAAGGCGATATATCAAGTAGCCTAAGGCGGACTACCGCTGGAGTTGCACGATATAATTCATTTATGCCTCCCATCTCGGCGACTCTAGCGCACAACGGGGACGTGGCACAAGTCGCGCGTACTCCACAATTTCAGAGAGGCTTACTCATAAACATTGTCGCGGATATCGGACTCTCAGACTGCAATTGAGAGCACCCTCAGGTGTATGACGATGGTGTTGAAAACTGACAACCCGCTTCGCAAAATGTGCGGGCTGAGACATCGCGCAAGGCTCACAGAGTTGTCCGGCTAGTGAACGCAAATCTTGGGTGCTCTCGCGAAGCTGCTGTTATGGAGCAAGCTCCTTCTATTGGACAAGGAGGTGCGCGCGACGACCGCGAGTGCGATTGCGCGCGTCCTGTCGGTCATGAGACGTGACGAAGTTGTAACGAATGCACGGCGTCTTGGGGGACGTGACTCAGAATCCGGAGGTACGAGATACGGGCGGCTCCGAGATCCAGCCAATTCTGAGCGGTACTACTGTTGCATCCATGTCCACTATATATACTGCCTGTGTGCCAACCGACGGTTTTCCGACCATATCCATTCTTACGTCGTCTTCGATCTCGTCCCTGGCTCCTTTGTCCATGACGCCATCGGTGTCCGCGACACTCTTATAAAGGTGGGCGATGGCCGGCCTCTCCTTTCTTCCCTCCTCTCACCATCCCTTCCTGTCCTTGGGTACGCTCACTCACAGTGAGGCTAACAGGTAGGGCATCGCTGTCTCAGTCTGTACATGTCACACACAGGTGAGTGGGCTAGTTGCTGTCGTACAGCATACAGGTAAGTCGCACACGAGGTTATTGCACAGGGAGCAAAGAGCGCGTGAGGCAATGCAGCAGTACTTAGTGATAGGTCACTGAATGTCGTCGCACGGGTGCGGGGAGTAGCGTACTAGTATGTAGTCCGACCAATGTACCGTAGAGTAGCCACCTATAAATATCCTCGTCCATGCGCAATCTAGAACCGGATAAAGCATACGAATTTTTCAGTACTGTCGTAATCTGTCCCAATCTGTTTGTCAGACGTTGAATAGAGTGAAACATGTTGGAATCCTGGCGTCAAGATGGCGAGCTCGCGGAACGAGCGCCACAGGTCCCGCCCCCCCGACGGATACCCGCGCTCTTATCTACCCCTATTTTACTGTGTATATAAGGTCTATTGTATGTACTACGTACGGCACGCGTTTGCACCGGCCAAACGCGAATCCCATTTGTGCCCGCTTGCCCTCGAACTTCTACAAAACATACCAATATCGGGGGGAAAAGATACAAATAGACGTGAAAAGTTGATCGGCGGCAAATAGCTTTTTGTGCCTTTTGTCACCGTTTTCCATTGAATGATACCGATTTCTATCGATTTCTAGGTATTACTGTCTTTTCGCCAGACAGAAATCGGCTGAAAAAGACCAGAATAGTGGGAAACAGACGGGGTTCTCACTGGGCCTCAGATGCCAGGCGGAGGAGACTCCATCCCAGTTGTGACTTCCCCGGTTTGCTCCTTTGTCCGGGAACAGCTTTAGGTATGAGCTGTAACAGGGCCCGCGACTGTAACGATCGAGGAAGACTTCAACACAGTGGGGCTGTACCCAAAGGAGACGTGTTATCGCGCCTTTGGTATACGTACAGATAATAATCCAATGACACCAGAGGTACTGTACAGTCTATTAAAGAGTGTAGTCTTATCTAAAATGGTAGTCTGGGCCCAGTACATGCACGACTACAACATCGTCTGGGACATAACAGAGAAAACTCGACGCCGACGGAGTCGAGGATGAAACAAGCCACCAATAAGTACTGTATATAGGATCTATGGCTGCATTCAAGTAATACTGAATCCGCGCGCCAGGCGAGGTTTGACTCAAGATACAGTAACGAGCGAAAGAGCGGACAACACATTGATTTGCAACTACTGAGAAGCTGGGGGTATATATGACGTCCCCAATCCCGGAGGACACGTCTATCACCACGGTCCAAGGACGTTGTAAGATGGAAGTGACCCCTTGGGGCTTCGAGGTGCCTCTGAGTTCGCCTCGCGGACAACGCCACATGACCGGGGGGTTTGGCCAGCAAGGGACGTCTGCGCGACTGGGACGCCGGACATTCCCCTCTCGTTGTCGAAGAATGGGAAGGCGAGCTGTGGAACCTGTGGGTTGAAAGACGTCATCGTGTCGAGGTATGACTTGTAAAGCAATGGGTCCGCGGCCTGGGATGTGTAGTCACGACCGATATGCTGGAGATCCAGAACGGGACCTGGGTTGTCCGGGAGGGCAGTAACAGCATTATATGCCGTGGCATGCGCCGAGAGCGACGGCATTCCTGCTGTTATGATGGAGTCGTCCGTTACTCGAGGTCGCTTGGAAGCACGCCCATCGCCTTTTGACTTCTTGCCGCGTTTGTATCGCTCGTTGGGAGGTGCGTATCTACACTCCCATGACTGCTTGCCTGAATCAAGGCAGCGCTTGTAAGGTAAGCTTTGGCTGCACTTCTTTTTATTATCGTGGCAGCTCGTACACTACAGATCAGCATGTAAGCTTGGTGTTTCGACTAGCTGCTCAGTAGTGTACAAACGTACAGCTTGGTCTACTGGCGACTCGTCCTCTTGACGTTTGCGCTTGCCTAATACTGCTGCTTGGATTCGGGGGCTGCCAGCCGCAGCGTGTGCTGTGTCGGCTACCAATGAGGTGATATGAGTAGTCTGTTTCTTCGAAGCAGCAAAATTTCGCGACATACACACTCCAATATCGGGGCCGACAACGCTCGGTTTGAGGACAGAGATAGAGACTGGGTGTGAGCAATGGGGACACTGGAAAGTCTGCGAGTTGGGCATCGGTGGAAGGCAGTATTCGGAAGTTTGCATCAGAATGTGCGTGAGGGGGTAGGGCAACTTGTGCCCCAGGGTATATTGCTGAACAAAGGTGAGATTGAATGGGTATAACGTCGAGCAAAAGGAGTGAGTGAGGAATGCAGAGGAGAGTGAGCGGGGCCCAAGACTAGTAGCTGTCCCCTATATAGGGCATGAGCTGCAATGACCCCAACATGAGCACCACCGCAAAGGGCCAGCAGGGGAACATGCTCACAGCTCGATGATGTCGGAAGGGGGACAGGTTGACATGTGCGTTACGCCTGCTCCGCACGAAGAAAAAGGTTGTCGGTGTCGGTGGAGAGGGATCATCAAACCATATGTGAACAGTGAACCTCGTCATGGGGTCTTCTGCGGCTCTTCGCTCTTACAATAGGATGTGCACACGCATTGAGAGTGCGCAAGGGGCGAGGTCAGTAGTATGCCTATGTCTTGCCGCTGTCTCGCTTCCTTCCACTCTCCATCTTCCCGGTATTTGCAGCGCCGACGTCGGATGACTGCGGAGGTCTGGTCCACTCCGTGCCGGACGAACTCGCCGCACCGGTCCTAGTGGCGGAAGTATGCAGGCCAGCTTGATCTCTGAGATTCGCGCATCAGCGGTCCAAGAGCATGACATCCATAGGATCAGCAGACGATGAAGTGGCGAGATTGAGGATTCATGTACACGAAGTGAACTGCATGTCCTTCGCGTATCCTCCATAGATATGAACCCTAGAAAATGTGTGCCCTGAAGCACATTCTGTTAGCCAGCAGATAAACCAAAATGGACGTACCCCGTTCCCAATGATATCTGCGCATGTTCCACAGCGGTAATTTGTAAATCTACAACTTGTGACAAGGCGTCGTCACCAGTCCGCTTTGTATATTGATCGCTCGAAGTCCTCTCCTGCTCCGCGACTTCTCCTTGATGACGAGCACAGCGTTTTCCAAGACATTCTCGCCTAGATTAGTGAGGCACACATCAAGCTCTGCCATTTACCTTGACCGTTCATCAGGATACTCCTCTCCATCCTCGCCAAGAGTGGGTGCCCGAGGTGGTCCTGGTTGGGGTGGGGGTTTGCTTGTGGTCAATTTACGACGATGATCGGCGGGCAAAGGACAGGCGGCGGCCCTCGTGGTCGATGAGCCGAGTGGATTTCTGCAGACTACACCAAAAGTTCAATGGGAGGGAGAAGGACAAGATCACGCTCCATGCACAGCGTAGTGGTTTCTGGTTCAGCTGTCAGGCCAGGGCCGTCGAGTTTGACCGCCGCTGGCCCGCCGGCGTTAAGAGCTATGATTACGAGCCACGCCGCATACGTCGGGCGGGCGTAGGACGGTGTAGCACCGGTCTATCGGCAACATACACCCAATAGGCGTGTTCAATTCTTGTCGCTCGCTCATTTCCTCGTGTGCCTACCGGGCGTCTGCCTACCTGGATTCAAGGTCAGATCAAGTGCCTGTACTAGCACAGCGAGCAGAGGTGTGCAGGCAGCGGGTGCAACACGACCGCATCAGGGTCGCGAGCTGGGACTGAGGAGCGACGCGAAAGCTTAACAATTCGAAAGATAGAGAGCTCCATGACTCGAGACGCGGAGTCGTCCTGCAAGGCTTACAGTGGCAACCCCAGGTGGCCAGTGAACCGTGTCGTGCCGGATCTGGTTCCGATTTGGGCGCATTGTGTACAATTATTCTCGGTCAACAAGTCTATAACGATCTGCCGACGTCTCCATCCACTTTCTGGACAGATTTTCTGGGTATAACAAACCTAGCATAGGACGGAAACGTCGATCTCGCTGCACCCGCTGCCTGCGCACCTCTGCTCGCTGTGCTACAGGCGCTTGATCTGACCTTGAATCCAGGTCAGCAGGCGCCCAGTAGGCGCGCGAGGAAATGAGCGAGCGACAAGAATTGAACACGCCTAATAGTCCCTAGTTTCAAAATGCAAGTATCTGCATACACAGAGGCCATTGCATGTCACCCATTGCCTCATATCAAGGGCGACTTCTGTTGTCCTGGGAGAACATGTGGCGCACGGGGCAGACAATCGATTTGCACCGTGGTGCCTACATGGCTCCTACGACGGGACACATGATAGCTTGCACCTCTGCTTCTTTGTCGGAGGGAGGGCGGTTGCTCATGCAGGTCTGTAGGCAACAGTGCGGTCCTGTGTAACAGAGCATGCCACGTACAGAGGTTAGCTATCATCTTCAACACCCAGCGGGTACGACGCCTGGCAAGCCTGGAGCATAAATGACAGGGCCGCATGAAATATAAAAAATGGTCGGACCAGCTGCCAGACAACTGTATTCAGATTGAGCGGGTTGACGGACCTAGAAAGCGGAGTGCCGCGTTCATTTCCCCCACCTATTTTGTCCCTATGAGGGGTGTGGGGCGGCAAACAGAGTGCGGAAGGGGCTCGCGTTACTTAGGCGTGTTCCGCATGTATGGTGGCTGTACAATGGTCACCCGAAAAACGTGCCAGGGGTGCAGATACACGAATGAGTCCTATGAGACTGGAGATCGGGCGGAGTGCCCAGAGCCTGAACAGCAACTCTGAGGTGGAGGATTAGAGAGGGCCAGACCACTGCTAATACGACTAGTACCGCGGCAAAGGTCTTCTAGAGGTCGTGTACCTCTTCGTTTTGCTTTCCTGCTGTTCTGAATACTTTCCCATCTTCGCCGTACCCGAAAACCAAGTGGATGGTTAGTTGGGTTTGCCCCACAGTTGGCAAGTGACAACGGTGAAAAGCAGGCGCATTATCCATGGAAGCTACTATGATAAGCGTACAATAACAGTAAAGTGACTACCAGAACCGATTCGTATCTGCAGGGATATCCCGCGCCATGCGTAGCATAACAATATTCGAAGTCAAGCTCGAGAACTGCGGGCAAAGCCAATGGTGGCGCATGTCAGCTCTCCGTACCGGCAAAACGCAGCAGACATACGACGTACCCCGTTCCCAATGATAACCTGTGCACGCTGCCCAATCAGCATGTCCACCGACTGCGCGACAAACTGCTGCTCCCAGTCCAGCTTCATGTCCCGGCTGCTTGCAATCCTGTCCCACCCGCCCGTCTTCGCGATCTCCCTCTTGAGCTCCTCCACCCACGGCTGCTTCCCGTTCGTCATGATGAATACGTTCTTCAGGCCCTTGCCCGCCGGTGTCGCACGGATCTCCGCGACGCGCGCGACGATCTGCTCGATGTCCGGGAAGCAGTGCTTCAAGTAAATGTTCTTACCCTCCTCCGTGTACTCGCCCCACCCCGCAGTAGGGGGCGGCTCGAAGTGGTCTGGGAGCTCGGGAAACTGGTTGAAGCCGTTCCACTGCGACGACCAGCGGGCGAAGTGTAGGCAGTGACCCTCGAAGTCGCCCCTGCGGATATGGAGCGCGAGCAGTCCGGGGATGACATCATATGGGTACGCGGCGGGCGGAGAGATCAGGTCGCGGAGCCAGTTCGTGTGCATGAAGAGATGTCGGTTGCGCGTGAAGCCGTCCTCAATGAGCTGCGACCACCGGAACTCGGTGATGACGGGTGAGTGTTTCAGCGACTCCCAAATGCCGAGGACGCGCTTGCTCCCGAATACCCTGCGAGGGTGATGTGTATACGTCGGTCTGACGCGAGCGAGACAGGACTGCATGGACATACCAAATGTTCCAGATCTGTGCGGCATCCTCCTTGATCTCGACGCAGCGTGGAAGCGTCTTCAGCTTTTCGACCCATGTCCTCAGAACCTCACCCGCGTCTGCGTCTGCGTCGATTTTGAAGAGCTCCTCGCTCATCATGCGATGCGGTTCAAGGCAAACCTTGTCCCAGTACGGCTTGACAACGGCGCGAGGAGCGGGATCGCCCGGAGGCCACGGTTCTCCTGCTGCGGGACCTGCAAATCATGGTGGGATCAAGACATGCCACACACGCGAATTTAACACCCGATACACTAAGTGAGATATGCGATTAAGTGCAAAGTGGGACCTCCTCTTCCCCTTGGACTGGACTAATGTATGACATACCTCGAAGCAGGGCAGTGATAGGTATCCGGGAGGGGATGAGGTGACCGTTGTATTCGGTATAATCGGAACCATCTTTGTTCCAGGTATAATTGTTGTATACGAACCTGACAGTATGGTCAGCTAGACCTATTGCGAAAGTCCACAAGGCTGAGTCTCACGCTCGACCTGACTCGTGTGCTAGGTGCGCGTTTAGTAGGTGCTCCTGCATAGCGTTTCCCCATCCGGAGCCTGCTCCCTGTGAGCTCCCATGCACAACCCAGCGCATACGTTCTATCACTCACCATGCACATGGTTCGCATACCATATGTACAACCCATGCTCTCCCTCGGGGAACGGCAACTCCGGATTATGTTGTGGGCGCCTGAGTTCCTGCAAGTAGTAGTCGGTGTATAGTGGCGGCTTGCGGTTTGGGTCGTCCGTTTGCCACCGTTCGACCACAGAGTCAACGCCCCAGAAGAAGTGCACAGTCAACAAGCATAGAGAGGTCAGTACGATGAGCCGGGTGATACGCTTGGTGCAAAAGCGCGTCAGAGGGTTGCCGCCGTTCGTGCGCCGGTGCGCGTAGCCGTGACGCGATTCGGCGCTGTTCGTAGGAAGCATGTCGTAGGAGTCGCTACGCCCGGAAGAGCCAGACAGCCTTGAAGACAGCGAGTGTAACATGGCGAGCCTCCAGCCAGCGTCGGTGCGACACCTACTGACAGCTACGCGTACGGGCTCAGGTGTGCAGTCGGTGTTTCCCAGGCGAAGCGACCGACCCCTCGTCTGCGCAACCGAGCGCCGGATATCGAAATTGTTCTCGCACACCGTCAATCGCGGTCGCAAGTCAGCGTGAACGCTCCTTCTCCCACTCCGTCGGATTCGCCAGACCCGATGTGTTCACGAAAGTACATGTTTGCGGCAGCACGAACATATTGCCTTAGCACGAACAACAACCTCCCTAAGTATCGCCATCGACACCCCTAGTCTCACTACCGCACATCGCCTAGCAAGCTACTTAGGCTGCGTCGTTCTTGGTCTTTTTGCGCGGAGGCTCAGTCTGATCCTCTTCCTCGTCATTCCCCTCAATGCCATCTGACTTCTCGCCGCCCATTTCTCCCCCTTCCAATCCATCGTCGTCGTTGGGTTCGGGTGCTTCTTCCTCTGTAGCCCCTTGGTCCTTCGGTTCGTCTGCGTCAAGCTTGCGCTTCTTCGCCTCCTTCGGCTTCTGCCCCTCCTCGGCGTCCGACTTTACTTGCTCGTCGATCTCTGCTTCTTGGGATTGGCTGGGCTCTCCCTCTTCCGGAGCATCGGTACTGTCGTGGCCATTGACTCCCGAGTCCGCACCAACCTCATCGCCCTTCTCGTCGTCCAGAGTCTTCACGGGGTCCTGCGGAATGTGTAAGAACAATTGCGTAGAGTGCCAACACATCAATTCTCACGTGGCCCCAGTTCTTCAAACTGATGGTGCTCTTGGTGTTCTCGAGCTCGTCGCAGGTCTTTGTCTCCTTCAAGTGGTTCTCCTGTGCCATGTGCCTGTTTGCGTACCTGAATACGCACGTTGGGCATCAGCGGATCTCGAACGGCATCGTCTGTGTACGTACCCAACCACCTTCCGCATGTGCTCGAGGTCCTCCTGTGCGTCTAACTTCAGTGAATAGTTCAAATGCAACCAGGGAGTCTTTGCGTACCTCCTCGTACTTTTCTGGATCCTTGGTGGGATTCTTGCGGAGGATCTCGATGATCTTGTGGCCGCTCTCTATCCCTACGCCCGTCCCCGCCTTCAGGCTCTTCGGATCCTCCAGCCACGCCTCGAGCTCCTCTACAGTCATGTTCACCTCCTCGTTGAACTGCGCGATAACATCCTCCTTCGACTTCACCATGGTGACGAGCAGGGATGCGTAGCCCTCGAAGATACGGCGGGTGTGCGTCGCAGACAGCGAGGAAGTAAAGGACGCGCAGGGGCGGAAGAAGTCTTCTGGCTTTATGCTATACGGGTTTGCAAATTGTCGGCATGCGCAAGATCACTTGCTGTCACTTACCCTGAGGATCGTACAAAGACCCTGCCGCTTCCATTGACTGCTCGGCGTCAGTTCTGTCATGTTGGACTGCATCATCGACCCCCGTCGTTGTCCTCTCATGTAACCTCCCGCGGCGATTGTATTGCAACATATACAGCATGAATATGTATGGGCATGCAATACTACTTATGTGGGTGATTCGTCGTTGTATCTGTTTGCCTTGATCCGCCGCAGCTGAGCCATGCCTCTGTCAGATAGTCCCATCCTGATGTCTTCGGATAGCCTCCGGTGATGGCATGGTCTTGTGCACCATTAGTTGGCCATGAGCTGTGTCAATAGTGTCCTAAGCACACATCACAAGTCACCACGTTATCCTCACTCGTACCACCAACGCCTGCTTGTGGTACGCTACGGACACCATCACCCTACCTTATGGGTCCCCTGGTCTCTGATATGTGTCGATCTCGCATCGAATTCTGAAGACCGCAAAGTTGCGTCGTCTTGACGGACGGACATGCCGGTTCTCGACGAGAAAGGTGTGTTAGATCGCGGGTGGTTAGTTCATTTCCAGACAGTTACTCTAACCTCGCCTCGCGCTTCACGCGGCAGGAACCACGCGAAACACGGTCCGTTCATCAACACGTCCCCAACGCGATGAATACGGCTACTCAAGTCGCTTCCGTAAATCAAGATAGAGTCCGGTGCGTCGTCCCGTACGTGTGTACGTCAGTGCCTCTCTGAACGAGCGTGTTCGTACTATCTAAACCTAGGCTGTGCACTGTATGCAGTGTCCGTGATCGCATGACCGGCACACCCTCCGCCTACGGCCCTCTATGCTTTTGCAGACCGGGTCGGAAGGTCCCGCAACTCGTGCCTAGCTCGCTTATATAACACGTTCCATCAGGGCCAGCTCCTACAATCACCCTGGCCATGACGCGCTCGGAATCGCACATGTAGTCCCTGTCCTCAAGGTCGAAACGCGACAACACCATGAGCGTATGCTTGCAAGCCGCGCGAAGGGAGACTCGTACCGCAGTGGTGCCGCGAAACGCCCTTACTTGAGTATTCTCTTATGCTCGCCGTCAAAGTTGGATCTACCGTAGATTGTTCGTATAAGCCATCGCAGTGAAGACGCAACGTGCATACATGCTGTCTTCAAACGTTGCGCACGCCATGGCGGTGACGTCATGTTTGCAAGCAAACCCAGCTCTGGTCGTCCCCCACGAAATGAGGTGCAGTGAGCTTGAGAGTCCTGAGCCACTCCCTCATAGGAGAACCACATATATTGTTGAGCTGCACCTTTAGGAATTAGAGCAGGCATACGATCCATCGCATTGAATCTACCGAGATTTCGGCAGGTGGCGCGATCGCGCATGGAGGCGGTTCCCTCTCGGTCTGCAGCTGGGATTACGCGACCGATTTGATTGGTTGGGGCTGTCAGTGTGGTATAACACATAGTAAGCGCCTGCTCTTGGGGGCGGCAAATCGGGCCGCCCAAACGTCGAGATTTTTTGCCACCGCCGGTCACCTCGTTTGCGGCTTTCCTTACGCTTGCCCACCATGCATCTCATGTACACGCTTGACGAGAACGGGAACAGGGTTTACACCCTCAAGGTGCGTAACATCAATCATCTAGACACACAAAGAGGGCTGACGAAGCCGCGCTAGAAAATTACGGACACTGGCAAGATCACCAAGTCCGCCCACCCAGGTTCGCCCACTTTTCCAACGCCGTCTGCCTTTCTTCCCCTCCACTCACCATACGATAGCGCGATTCTCTCCGGATGACAAGTTTTCACGTCACCGGGTGACGATCAAAAAGCGCTACGGCATCCTGCCGACCCAGCTCCCGAGCAAGCCTCTATGAAGGACGCACGTCTGTGGTCTCGTAGAGACAGACCAGGTTCCTCTTGGCAGCGAGACATCCGGCCGCGATTCCTCCCACAGGCGGTGCGCTTCCTCAAGCGGGCCATGGAAGATATTGGCCGAGGAGGGGATAGGACGCCGGACATACCACGGGCATGTGTCGCTCGTAGCTTTTCGCCACACATTGTATTGTTACTACCGCCTACCACGCGCGACGCCTATAGCTCGCCAACTCTGTACTCCGGATGCATGCTCATGACATAGGTTTGCTTCAGACGCTCTGAACCTGCGTTCCGACTGCCCCGGTTGAACGCGTGGCCGACGCGCGCGCGAGTCGCATTCGGCGTGCTCTGCTCGCTCGGACGCCGAGACATCGGGGCCAGTCGTGCCATCTCTAGAGCAGCTCAATATTAGCCAGAACATCGGCTTACGGCCAGCGTGCGCAGTCAGTGCGTAAATATAGCCCAAAGGCGGAGGAGAGAGCACGGCGTGGGAGGACGGTTTGCCCACGTTAATGACTTCAGTTTCATCCTGCTGTGGAAATTCTAGGAGATTCGTTCCGCGGTAGGGGACGGCGAGGCTCAGGTGATGAAGATGTCGATGACGATGTAGTAAACCTGCTGCGTCTGTGAGATGCCGGGAAATGGAAGGAGAATAGCGGATAAGGGGTTATGTGGATAATATAAGTGAAACGGCAGCACAGGAGTGCTTGACGACGTCAAGGCTGGGAGAGGCTATACGTGCAGGCGGCTGAGGCGTCGCTGCCGTCCCTCCTTTGACCACGACCCGCCATGGACCACCGCGGCCAGCGTCCCCCACGCTCAGCCCGACCACCGGGTCAACAGCCACCTCAGCATCAGCCTCCGCCCCAGTCCCAGTCCCCGCCTGCATACCCCGCCGTGTATCCGGCTGTCTACCCTTCACAGGCATACTCCGATCAGTCAGCCGCCGCCTACCGCCCCCCGCCCCAACCCCAGGCAAGCTACTCGGCGTCCTCGAGAGGGATCTCCTTCCAGCACACCGAGGGCGGTGACCGTCGCGACCCTCTCGACCAGAATCGCCAGCGGCACTATTCGGCATACCAGCCCACCTCCCCCACCCCGATGGACGTCGAGGGCGGTTTCTCGGACGGCAGGGTAGGCAGGAAGAAGTCCCTCGTCCGCCCCGACAGGGAGAAGATCGACCCAGGCCACCGCCAGTGGCACTACCGCAACCACGCCGCCCAGCTCGTCGACGAGGGCGGCGACGCCATTCCCTCCGGTGCGTAGCTGCTCTTCACATCCCCCTCTTTTTCTTCTCCATACCCACACCTTTGTCCATGTTCCGTGCACTAGCGACGGGCAACGCTCCCCAGCGAGGCCAACTGCGCCGTGGGAAGTCGCTGCTCGGGCGAGAAGAAGACCAGCACGAATCAGGACTCGCCCTCTTCAAGCGCGGCACCCTACGACGGAAGAAGTCCGCGGGGGGTACAGCCAAACCCTCCGATGCGCCCAAGTCTGGCAGCTGGCTCGACAACATCGGCCCAGGGCCCAAGGATGCCTGGTACATCTACTGTTATTTGTCGACGTGTTTCGTCCCCACGTTCCTTTTGCATTCTTGCGGTGAGTGCTTTGATTTTCGCGTGCCTTGGGAAAAGTGGCGTGTGCGAGCCGACTTCGAGTTAGGCATCCGCACCCCCGAAGCACAACGAGCATGGCGCGAGAAGATGGGTCTCCTCTACATTATCTTGAGCCTCATGGCTGTCGTCGGTTTCATCACATTCGGGTTCACCGAGGTTGTATGCGGTCAGCAGCCCAATCGCTTCCAGTCCGATCATATCGATACCGCCTCCGTCATCATCCATGGCTTCGACTACGACTTCAGCAAATTCAGCCACCCTCAGGTCGGGGATTTCAACGGCAAGGTGAACCCGCTTTTCGAAGGGAACTGGGGTGCTGCCGGTGCAGACATCTCCTTCCTCTTCCAAAACACGAACGGAAACTGCCGTCAGTTCATCACGAAATCAGGCAACTCGACCATCACTGGCAGCAATGGAAATCTTGACTGGTACTTCCCGTGCAACATCTACAACCAGTTCGGCACATCCGGCGTCAATCTCACCAATTATGACAAGGACACGACCTGCCATACTTCTTCTACTGCGCGCAACCAGCTCGCAGCTATGAAACCGCAGGGTCAAGTATACTATACTTGGGATCAGATCCACAACTCTTCGCGTAATTTGGCGGTCTTCGAATCGTGCGTGGATACTGACCTTTGACAATTCCACTGGTAGTTGACGCCAATGCCTCTAGATCGGTTATCGATTTGGGCCTTCTAAATTGGTTGAGTAAGGCGGAGGTTAACTACCCCGACCTATTCGATGAGATGAAGCAACCAAATGGCACTTTCAACGGCAAGGACCTGAGCATGTACTTCCTCCGCACGAACCAGCGCACGCTCGGAAAATGCTTGGAAGAGATCGCCATCGTCGGATTTGTGGACACAAACAGCATTGGGTGTGTTGCCTCTCAGGTTGTGCTCTATGTCTCCCTTGTCTTCATTGTCGGTGTCGTTGGCATCCGTTTCGTCATGGCCGTCCTCTTCTCCTGGTTCTTCTCCTGGAAGCTCGGCAACTTCAAGCGCGAGACGTACGAGGAGCGTATGCGTCGTGCGGCCGAGATTGAGAGCTGGGCGGACGACATCTACCGCCCGGCTCCCAGCCAGTATCGCCCGAGCGTGCAGAAGAACGGCCTCACCAAGGAGCACAAGCGTAGGACCTTCCTTCCCAGTACCTCTCGTTTCACACCTTCGGAGGGCGTCCTCAAGGGAGTCGGCGGTCGTCCGTCAACCGCCTACGGTATGCTGGAACCTATGCCCTACAAGCGTAGCACCACGATGAGCGTCTATGGCGCGCCAAGCTCCAAGGGCGCGAAGCCTTCGCCTCCAGATACCCCATATCGCCAATCCCGCAGCTCGACCTCGCTCGTCACGGATTCACAGCGCTTCGCTGACAATCCGTGCCCGTTCCCTCTGCACAATGTCGTCCCTCAGCCATCGTCAGACTTCCAGCCTTTCGGGTACCCGCTCGCCCACACCATCTGTCTCGTCACGGCTTACTCCGAGTCTGTCGAGGGTCTCCGCACGACTTTGGACTCTCTGGCCACCACCGACTACCCGAACAGTCACAAGCTGCTTTTGGTCATCGCCGACGGTATGGTCAAGGGAGCCGGCAACACGATGACTACGCCTGAAATCTGTTTGACCATGATGAAGGAGTTCGTCATCCCTCCCAACGAGGTCGAGCCGCACTCATACGTTGCCATCGCGGACGGCCACAAGCGCCACAACATGGCCAAGGTGTACGCCGGCTTCTACGACTACGACGACGCGACGGTGGAGCGGTCGAAGCAGCAGCGCGTTCCCATCGTTCTCGTCGCCAAGGTCGGCAACCCGCTCGAGGTGAACGACGCGAAGCCGGGCAACCGTGGGAAGCGCGACTCGCAGATTGTCCTTATGGGGTTCCTCCAGAAGGTCATGTTCGACGAGCGGATGACGACGTTCGAGTACGAGTTCTTCAACAGCGTGTGGCGCGTGACGGGCGTGAGCCCGGACCGGTACGAGCTCGTGCTGTGCGTCGACGCGGACACGAAGGTCTTCCCGGACTCGCTGAGCCGGATGGTCAGTTGCATGGTGAACGATTACGAGATCATGGGCCTCTGTGGTGAGACGAAGATCGCGAACAAGGCCGAGACTTGGGTAACGATGATTCAAGGTTTGTTTCCCGCGCTCATCACCGCGCATATAGCCACTGACGTGGTTCACAGTATTCGAGTACTACATCTCTCACCACCTGAACAAGGCGTTCGAGTCCATGTTTGGTGGTGTCACCTGTTTGCCTGGGTGTTTCAGCATGTACCGTATCAAGGCTCCCAAGGGCGACGGTGGGTACTGGGTCCCTGTTCTCGCGAACCCGGATGTCGTGGAGCACTACTCGGAAAACGTGGTCGACACGCTGCACAAGAAGAACCTGCTGCTCCTGGGTGAGGATCGGTACCTGACAACGCTCATGCTCAAGACGTTCCCGAAGCGCAAGAACGTCTTCTGCCCGCAGGCCGTCTGCAAGACTGTCGTCCCGGACACATTCGGCGTGCTGCTCTCGCAGCGCAGGCGTTGGATCAACTCGACCATCCACAATCTCGCCGAGCTCCTTCTCGTGAGGGATCTCTGTGGTACATTCTGCTTCTCGATGCAGTTCGTGGTCGGGATGGAGCTTGCGGGCACGCTCGTCCTCCCCGCCGCCATCTCGTTCACGGTCTACCTCATCGTTTCGTCGATCATCCCGGGCGGGCCCAACACGACCATCCCGCTCATCCTGCTCGCTATCGTCCTCGGTCTACCTGGATTGCTCATCGTCATCACGTCGCGCAAGGTCGCCTATGTCGGGTGGATGCTCGTCTACCTGCTCTCGCTCCCGATCTGGAACGGTATCCTGCCGTCGTACGCGTTCTGGCACTTTGACGACTTCTCGTGGGGTCAGACGCGTCAGGTCGCCGGGGACAAGGCTGGTGGGAACCATGGAGACAAGGAGGGCGAGTTCGACTCGTCGCATATCGTTATGAAGCGGTGGGCCGAGTTCGAGCGGGAGAGGCGCTGGAAGAGCGGGACGCAATCGAGGGACTCGACTGCCTATGACCGGTCTGCGTCACCCAAGAGGTAGGTTGCTTCAGTCAATTCTGTTGGGGTCGGACTAATTCAAGCGATAGGCCCGATGTGAACAGGTACTCGCTGGTGTCTGACTATCAACCCCCACAATTGCCACCCCAGCCTTTCGATCAGAGCACATACGAATCCTCGTACTCCAGCGGCGGCGCTCCTCCTCCCCCTCCTCGATCCAGACACGACAGCACCGGTCAAGTCCTCACGCTTCCTACGCCCCTGTCCGTTAGCCGGACAATGCCTGCTTCTGCGACGCCATCGGCCTCGACAGTCGCACTCTCGCGCTCGAGCGAAGAGGGCTACAACTCCGACATCGGATCGCAGCAGCGCCTCGTCAGCCCCCAGGAGTCATCCCAGGAGGACGAGCGGTACCAGACCCCGAACAACTTCGAGGCTCGGGTCTCGCGCTCCGGCGGCGTCCTCCGGCAAGGCACCATGTCGGCGCAGTACCCGGGCGAGACGCAGAACGCGTATCAGTACTCGCCCCAGACCGCTGGCTTCGACGAACCATCCGTACCGTTCATTGCGGAGCCCGAGGACATGTCGCCGACCCCTGCCCAGCTTCGCGCGCGTGGGATCAGCCTGTCCGATCACGGGCCGGTTCCAGGGCCGGGTGGCGTAAGGCGGGTGTCGAGGCAGCAGAATAGGCGGCCGTCGTCGCAGGCACCGCAGCAACAACAACAGCAGCAGCAGCAGCAGCAGCAGCAGCAGAACCAGAACAGGTACTCGCGCACGTTCAACCTCCCGCCGGGTGCAGCACCACCGCAGTCAGGTCAGGGATATGGATACTAGATCGGATGTGAGAACCGAGACGTTTCCGCAATGTGTGAAACCGGACTGTTTGAAGACCGTTTTGTAGTATGACTCTGTCACGACCTTGCCCTTGATGTACACGGACCTCGATCAGGCATGCGCTAGTAAATACTACTTAGTTACATTCCTTCTCCCCTTACCTCTTCCGCTTTAATCATCTTGATTCTCCGTCTCCGTCTCACATGTCACTTCGGGCACGCGCATGGACATCCCGATCCTACCTACCTATCCCTCATGACCCCTTGGCCTAGCTAGTTATCACTCACCTACCCACCTACCTACTTACCCTTGCAAGTAGATTCACGACACCAACCTCCAGCTTCTAACATTACTTGCCTCCTTACTTCGCGCCGCATGATGTATCCAATCCGCCCAATTTCACTGTTCATGTTTACGTTCACGTAGCACGTCCGTATGCGCCTAGTTGGTTCGCCAGCAATCAAATCGGATAACTCTCCCATACTGACGCATCGGCTGCGTGCGCGTGTTAATATGACTTGAGGTTAACAAGTAGCCACCTGCAGATGCTGTGCGTGATATGTTCATACATGTCGGCGCCCATCCTCTGGGCCCAAAGATACCAGTGGTGGCGGAATAGCTGATCATGACGCGAATGCAACTAGATAGTTGAAGCAGCAGTGAGAGCGGTGAGGAGATATCGTCATCCGTCCTCACCAAGTCACGAAAAAGCTGGGACTGGTAGCTATCCCAGTCCAAGTTTACCGGTGTAATGCGATCATGGAACGATGTCCTCTGGGCGATCACACATCTCGAGATGAGAGAAAAATGTGTTATGCATGATGATCAAATACAATGCACTCGAAAGTGTCCAATGTCCAAATCGAACCCCGAAACTCTAGTCTACTGTGCCATATAAGAGATGCCTGCATCGCAGATATAGCTGTTGGTACAAGGAGGCACGAACAGTGTCCGTCCAAGCGAAAGAAATAAACCGGAACCAGTGTAGTGGTAGGATGTGATGAGACCGAGGGAGGAGTGGTTTAGAACGAGCACCGCTCATGGTAGCGGTACTGAGTCATCAACATCCTAGCCACGGAGCCGTTCTGCCAGCCATGGTCGCCACGGACTTCCTTTTCGCACGCATCCACCATCATCCGTTCCCACTCGTTGATAGCCTTAGAAATAGAAATGGTAGCGGTGGTGGTGCCCTCCGGGGTAATCACCTTCTCCGGACTCGACACCCCAGACGACGCACGCGAACTCGAACATGAGCTGGAAACAGAGAAGCCCAACTGGGCCATGGAAACGTCGACGGCAGAGCCGGCTGAGCAATCCCGCGCCACCCGGACACCAGGCTCCGACGCAGCACACGGAATATCAATCTCGGATGCCTCAGTAGTCGACTCGAGCCCACGCCCGGAGGCCGCGAGCCCGCTGGTAGGGTGCTCATGCTCGCGAACAACGTACCCGCGCTGGGACATCGGGCGGAAGAAAGTGTCAAGCGACAGGATCGCTGCCCGGAGTGCGCGGAGGCTAATCCGCTTAGTGGGGTCGAGATGGAACATCGACTGGATGATGGCGTGCGCCTCCTTAGAAAACGGGAGCGCTTTGTATAGGAAGTCCGGGTCCATGAGGAACTGACGGAAACAAGCATCCTGGATCGTCGCCTTCGACCACGGCTGCGAGCCCGTGATCATGTTGACAAGGACGACGCCCAGTGACCAGATGTCGCTGAGGTACGTGTTGTATGGCTGCTTCGCAGTCATATCACCGATACACTCTGCACATGGTGCGTGAGCAGCTGAAGACGCAGAGTCAGAGTCGGAGCGGAGCAACTCACCAGGACTCATGTAAATCGACGTCCCTCGACCGAAGTCGGTGGACATCTTCTCGTTCGTAGCAAGTCCAAAGTCCGCAAGGTATAG